CTGATAGTTCGGGTGACAATGCTAAACGATATGCCACATTCCCAATTTTTTCAAGAATCTCAAATGGACCAATAGATCTTGGACTCAATTTCCCTTTCTTCTCAAATCGTAGTATTCCTTTCATTGGTGCTACTTTGAGAAATACTTTCTCTCCAACCTCAAAAGTCAATTCTTTTCTCCTTTTGTCAGCATAGCTTTTTCGACGATCTTGGGCGGCCTTAATTCTTGATCTAATTTTATGTATAGCCTCTACAGTCTTCTCGACCAATTCTGGACCTAAAACTTTCCTTTCTCCAACTTCGTCCCAATATAATGGCGAACGACATCGACGACCATACAAAGCCTCATATGGTGACATGCCAATAGTAGCTTGGAAGCTATTGTTGTATGCGAATTCAACTAACGACAAATGGTCTTCCCACTTACCACCCAAATCTAGGACACAAGCTCTCAACATATCTTCAAGTACTTGGATAGTTTGTTCAGATTATCCGTCAATCTGAGGATGGTATGTAGCACTAAACGTTAACTTGGTACTCATAGCTTTCTGAAGGCTTATCCAAAACTTTGAAGTAAACCTTGGGTCTCTGTCTGATACAATAGAAACTGGAATACCATGAAGTTGCATAATCTCTTTGATATAAATCCGTGCGAACTGTTCTAAACTATAGGTTGTCTGAACTGGCAAGAAATGAGCAGATTTTGTAAGTTGATCCACAATCACCCAGATCACATCATGACCTCTCACTAATCTAGGAAAACCAATGACAAAATCGATTGCAATCTTTTCCTACTTCCATTCGGGTATGTCCATAGGATTCAATGGCCCTGACGACCTCTGTTGTTCAGCTTTTACTTGTTAACAAACCATACATGTGGACACAAACAAAACTATATTCCCCTTCATATTTCTCCACCAAAATCTATCACACAAATCTTTAAACATTTTAGTTCCACCTGGGTGTGCGACATAAGAAGTAGAATGAGCTTAAGTCATAATCTCATTCCTCAATACTTCATGCTTCGACACGCACAATCGACCCTTAAACATCAAAGCTTTGTCTTCGGCTATTTTAAATCCTTTTCTCTTCTCAATTCCCACATTAGCCCTGATCTTTTCCAAAAAGGGATCATCTTTCTGAGCAACTACTATTCTGTCCCTGAGTGCCGGCTTCACAATAAAACTTCCTAATATCGTCGATGTCCTTACCGGTGACATTATAACTTCAATTCTCACGTTCTCAAAATCTCTGATTAAATGATCTTGCC